TATAGAAGCCAGTGGAGTAGTATTGTATTGGTATTCATATTTGATTTAGTTCCTTTTTTTAGTTGAACAAACTCACTCAGAGATTGTCTGGTGCATCCTTATCTTGAATAAACACATTTGAATAGATGCAGTCTTTTGAAACTAATTACTTTTGTTGTTAGCCACACTGGGAATATATCAGTGCTGTCAATATAATATTCTGTGTTTTTGGTTCATATGAGGCTTTATGAGCTGTATTTATGGTGGTTTCTGCTCTCTTGAGTCCGGAGCCTACACATCTTTCCTTAAATGTTGAACCAATTGACAGAAAATGTGACAGAGCATTGAGTAGTGCTCAGACTTAACCTGGTAGTTACACCAGCTGTGGTTTAACAGCTTCATGTAGGTTAGGAGCTGTGCAGGTAAAATATCATGTAAAATAACCTTACACCAATGTAAAGGCACTGTGCAGTTAAAATAACCTTACACCAATGTAAAGGCTCATAACTAACTGCTCACTTTATCATCTTTCATTTCATAGCTCACTGTTTTTGATTAACATGTCATTTCTACTGAACTGTGATTCAGTAGCTTCATATTTATTGTTAGTATCATTCTACTAATTTAACTCTCAACCACAAATCATCAAAGTTTATTTTCCCCAAAATGCTGGATGTACTGTTTTTAATGTGACTAATTGCAGAATTTTTGTGACATCATATATATTCTATTTATTTTGTATTTGAATTGCAGTAAAACCTGGTTTCTGGACAACACCTACACAGAAGGCTTGGGTTATGGCTGTGTAGCCTTTAATTTCACTTTAATCTGTTCACAAAAATAATGCTTGATCTGTTTTGAGGTGGTTGACTGTGTAAAGCTTTGATACCAAGATGATGATGATGGTGTTTACACTGACAGAAGGAACATGACATTTAATTTTCATCTAAGACAGAGCAGACTGAGGCCATCTTTTCTTTTTGCCCTCAGTTGTTTTCAAAGTAATTACTATAAAAGATTTGTCGACTATTCCTCAGGAAACCTAGTCATCCTGGAAAACCTGGAATTTCTTTGAAAACCAGTTTTTCAGTCATGGAAATTGAGATAAATTGTATAATGTCATGGAAAAGCACTTCATCATCCTGGAAAATAATTTTCACATTTTTGTATTTTTCTTTTGCTGAGGGCAAACTGTCAGAACTCAGGATGAGGTGGCAGCTGAAATTAGGGCAGTAGTGAGATAAACGTAGAATGGCAAGGGTAGACGTTTATTGCCTATTTTCCTTAATGTTTTGGTACATTCTGAATACTCCTGTGATGTAAAAGAGACACTGAAGAGAGAGAGACAAGCAAAACTGCCGAAAGTAAAGTTTGCACATTTATTGTAGCATGCTAACAGTCTTACACCGAGGGACTGAACATTTCCATGTGTTTAGAGAGTGTGACAGTTGTCAATAATCAATCGGTCATAAAGCACCTAAGGGCTTTTTATACAGATAAAATATCATAAATTAACATATTATTTAAAAGAGACTTCCACACAGAGGAACTTGTTAGTCTAGGATGTGATCACCATTTGACACTAAAGCCTT